AATCGACGCTAGCCGACGCTTAATCGGCGCTGCCCCATCTACTCCAAGACGCTGGTCGAAGCTACTCGACGTTAAAGACATTAAAGGGAATGATCACGCGTCCGTCATGGATGCACGGCATTCTTGCCTTGACCAGGCCCCTATGATTTGCTACCGAACTAGTGAGCAGAGGGGAGGAGAAACAACGAACCAGCCGCATGCAACCGGTACCCCCGTGCACCAAAGAAGCGGAACCACACTCATGAAGCATCATCCGTCGCGCTGCAGCGTGGCGGCCCCCCCTCTGGGCATCTCTTGCTCGCCAGTCTGCATTCGCCCACGCGCTGAAGCACGGACAGCTCTGGGTTGGAGCACCATGTGGGATCTGCCCTAGAACAAGAACATACCAGAAACGGATCGACTCTATCTGATCTCCGACCTTGCACCGCCCCGAACGCAACGGCCACGTTGTCAATAGACACATCCACCCCGAATGCGCCTACAGACGTAACGGCACCCAAGATGTCCGTAGACGCTTGTGGCATGAGAACGGTATTCGGCCTAGACCAGAGATATTGATTTTCAATCAGCATCTAGTCTGGGCCCTCCAACCTCTGGGCTCGGGATGTCGGGCCGCTCCTGGAATCAGGGTCGGGAGATCGGGTCCGAGGTTCGCCGTGGCCCCACAAAAGCCCCCCTTCCGCTCCTCACTCAGAGCTTCCTGGATGGTCGCAGGGTGCCTGTGCCCCATGGCACTTCCCCGTGCCGCACGCAGACAGGGGCTCTAGGCACGAGTGACCTTTTGCTGAGCGCAGTTGTGGCCCGCGTGCTTCGGCTCGGCTCCCCCCCGCGCCAGCCGAAAGCCGCACACCAACGGTGCCTCTGGCGAAATGTCGCTCTTAGGAGTGCCCGACTCCAGAGTGCCCGACTCCAGAGAACGGACCCCCCGCGATAGAACGATAATCACTCATGATGGGGATGGTGATCATGATGGTCGCATGCTGCGTGTGGGGGGAAGCATCGCGCATGAGGGTATAATGATTGCTGGTGTTGTTGCTACTGCTGTTGTTGGTGTAGCGGTTGCTGCTGGGCTCTCATGCCTAAAAAGTAAATATCGCTGATCCCCCCATACCCGGTAGCCGCTGCATGTTTCAATTGAAATGCTTCTCCTGGGGCTCGCACCCTGTTTTTCTTAACAGGGAAAACGAGAAGTCACCAAACTGCGTTGTTGGGCCCCGAACTACAACAACAACGACCCTAGCCTGATACTTCCTCACAATGTATTCCCAAATCGCTCTCTCGCGCGGGACTTCCTCACAACGTATACAGACATCGCGCTCTCGCGTGGGACTTCCTCGCCATTGATTCAAACGCCGCGCCCTCGACACCCAGGAATCGCGCTCTCGCTGTGGATTGCCTGACGATTCATTTGGGAATCGCGCAAACGCTGTAGACGTCCTCGCGACTCATGCAGGGCGCACGCTTTAGCAACCCGCCTGCTCGACCTGGCCGCCTGGGCCCGCCGTCCCGACCTGCCTGTAGGGTCTACCTGCCCGATCTGCCCGTCTGGTTCTGCCACGTGTTTTCTGCTCCTGGCCCCCGTTTCCTGCTACTCTCTCTATCTCTCGCGTTCCATCCTCCTCCCTCCCCCTTGCATCTTCCTTCCATTCGTCCTCTCTTCACCTGCCTTAGGGGCTGCACCAAATATACGTTGCAGATAGGAAAGGTATCCCCAAGTGGGCACGATCGAAAACGAAAGGTGCGGTTATCGAGAGCTTGGGAAATACGTGTCGAATGGCCTGCGAGCAGATAAGAGCGAACTGTCATAAAATATGTGTTCTTGATGGTGTTGCTGTTGTTGGTGTTGTTGATGTTGTCGTTGTTGGTGTTGTTGTTGGTGTTGGTGCTGTGGTTGTTGAGATTATGTGTACAATTGTTGATGGTGATGTTGTCGTTGTTGTTGGTGTTGTTGTGGCTGTTGTTGCTGTTGCTGCTGTTGTTGCGTTACGGTGTTGTCACCGTCCCCTCGCGACCCACCCCGCGACCTACCCCGCGACCCACCTGCGACCCACCCCACGACCCACCGCGACCCCCCCAGCGACCCACCCAGCACCCGCCCCCATCACTCTCATCCGCATCTGCGGGGCGGTGCGCATCACACCTGATAGGGAAACCAACTCTATGCACCGACGCTTCTTCCAACCCTGCACTGACACCTGCACAGGAAAGCGGATCCTGGTGTATGCATGATTCGCTGTTCTCCTGGAAATGACAAAAAATACGCCGCACCATCCCGACGCCATCCCCGACCCTCAAAAAAACATGGGATTGGAAAATAAACCTCCACTGGTAATGCTGATGTGCGGGTTTCCGACCTGACGTTCGGCCGGCTCGGCCGCCTCGTCGCGCGTAATCACCCCGTCGTGGTTGGCGTCTATGCGGTCGAACGCAGCGTTGGAGGCGGCGGTGGCCGCGGACTGCAGCGCCGCGGCGGTCTGCAACGCCGTAGCGGCAGACGCACCTCACCGGTGCGGGGGGCCCGTTTCCAACGATCTCGACCAGACTTAGGTCGGGCATGTCCTCCCACAGGCGGATTCTGGAAAGGGGACTGACAGGCGAACAAAGAAATTCCACTGGGCGAGCGAGGTAAATTCTATAGGCGAGCGACGGAATTTGTCCCCCTCGACCAGGATTGTTGGTTGGGTCCAACGAGGAAGGCGAGCGGACGCGAGCGAGGCGCACCAGGAAATTCTCTGGGTGGGGAGGAAATTGTCAAACGCGCCCCAGGAACAGAAACAGGAAGCATGCTGAGCGAGAAAAGGCCGACGACACCACCGCGCAACCCATCCAGCCAGTTGGCCAACGAAAAACCCGCCGAGCCAACGCAAAGTAGAGCTTTCCAAATCGGAAAAGGGTGGGGTGCCGGAAAGACAGGGTGGAGGACGAGGAGGAGGAGGGGGTGGAGAAGCAGCAGGCAACAGAAGTGCGAGGAGCATGTAAAGGCAGGAAGGGGAAACTGGAGAAGGAGGGAGGGATGATGGAGGGTCTGGGGGAACGAATAATGACATAAACATAACAACTCGGAGGTCCGCGCGGATTTCCCGGATCGGCGCTGGACCCCCCTCCCTGGCGCGCGGAGCGCGCCAGGGGCGGCGCCGGAGGCGCCGACGGGGGGGCCCAGCGCGGATCCGGGAAATCCGCGCGGACCTCCGAGTTTTCATGTTTATGCCACTTTCTGTTCCCCCAGGTAAAGGCAGCAAGGGGAAACTGGAGCAGGAGGAGGGAGGGATGGTGAATGGTCAGCCTTGTGCACCGAGTGGCCGAAGCGTGCGGACACACACACACACACACACACACCCTGGACCCAATCTCCGGAGAACTCGCTCGTGGGCCCCCCGCGGAGTGCCCAGAGCGGGCGCAGGAGTCGCCGCCCGAACCCCCCCCGCCCTGGTTTTGAAAGCTTCATGCCTGGCGAGACCTTCCAGGCGAGGCAGAGTTTGTAAATTCAGGGCGCCAACCGTTTGAGGCAGTTTTTTTTCTCGTCAACGCTCGCCTGCTCTCGATCCTTCAATTGTTCTTCAAATGGGGCTGGGGCCCCTTGCCCAGACCAGCTCGCATTGAAACCGAGACGTGCCGCACACAGCGCCACGCGTGGAAAGCAGCAGCAAGGGCAGGGAGCGGGAAGCAGGCAGCAGAGGGGGAACGAGGAAGAGCAGAGAGCAGCCCGGAGAGAGGCAGTTCACGCGGCGATGCGTCGTTGAGATCGGCCCAGGGCCACCCCCCTTCCATACTCCATTCGCTCGCATGCCTGATGACGCCTCATATCCATTACAGCTCCCCTCTTCCACGTCCGCCTCATCCCCCTCGCCCCCTCTGCGCCCCCCCTCCTCCACCCCCCCTAGCCCCGCGACTCGTGCCGGAAGGCCTCGTGGTGCTCGGCGCCACGGCCTTGGGTCGAAAGCGCGCCCTGAGCGGCAGAGGCTCTTTGCAAGAGCTGCAGCCACAGAACACGCCCACCTCAATTCTGAAAACTCCTGGCTGACAACGGCGCCCCCACCCATCAGGGGGAGGAGGAGGAGGAGGAGCAGGAGGAGGACATGTTGTAGGACAAGATCCGCTGGTGCGACCTCGACGAGGGGCAGCCATGTGAGCTGCCTGCTGCAGGGCTCGACCTGAGCAGTGTGTTTTTCGTCCTCGTTTCGTCTTCGGACTCCGTGGGCGTCCGCGCTTATACCTCGTGTCCGCTGGACTGCCTGCGGTACAACTGTGCCCGACCTGCGTCGCGAACTCGATGCGTCGAGGGCTGACTTTTTTATCTATTCTTCATCTGCTGAGAACAACTCGAGTCACATGTCACATGCCCTAAGACGTCGTTGGCAGCCTCGAACTACCGTGGGGGGCACCTGTCGAGGGCTGCGGACTTCAGCTACCCACAGGATCCGCCAGGCACCGCGCTCGCAGCGGGTCGGGTATTCGGCGCTCCCCCCAGGGCTTTCGGACACCTCTGCAGGACCGGGCCATCGCCGACGGGACCAAAGTAGGAAGGAAAGGGGAGATGTGGTGGGCTTCCTATAGAATTCAAGTCAGATCCCCACTAACCCTGCGCAGTATGTGCAGCGCAGGGGGCAGCGGACCGTCTCCCCATCCCACCATCACACGGAGATGCGAAATCCCTGGGGACGGGACGGGATGGGCAAGGGTTGGCAACATAAGCCAGCCCACGACCTTAAAAGAAGCATCAGAGCGGCTACGTCAGCATGAAAGACTGATCCTCTGACGATCCAACTCGACTTCCGTTCATGGGCATCAGACTCACGCGAAGCAGCATGCCCTTCCCCCTGACAAGAGAAAGGTAACAGCTGAAGCCGATCCAGACAAACTACAAAATGCTGGATTGCATAAACGGCTGAGCGACTTGCAATAAACAAGACCCTCACCAGGAACACAACTCCCCACTCGGCGAGGAAAATGTCCTCGTTCGACGTCCTCGGTTTTCCCAATTCGTCCCGAAAAAATGTCTCCGTTCGACCCAGGAGCATGTCCCCGTTCGCTTGCCGATTCCCTGGCTCCTCTGGGAACTTCCTAGTTGATCTTTCCATCGAAGAACTGTAGTTTTGAAAGGTCAAAGAAGCACGAACAATCGTCACCAGCCTGTTGCATACAATGCGGGCGCGACCGCAAGAAACCCTCGCACGAAACCCAAACCTGAGAACCCGTGCGCGAGGTGCACCTGAGGGGAAACCTAGAGCACCCTGAACGCAGCAGCTCCTTCCACGGCTGCGGGAAGTCACCGCGCAGCGCGAGCAGCGAAGAAACCCAGGATACCCCGACGAAACGCATATGGTTTCTTGAGGCGCGCCCCCACTGTTCTCGAGGGAGGGGCGGGAGGGGAGGGAGGGGAGGGTGGGGGAGGGAGGGTGGGGGAGGGGAGGGAGGGGAGGGAGGGGAGGGAGGGGATGGACTCCTGTAGGGGGACACGCCCAACTTTAAGACCAGGCTCTCGAGCTCACAGGGCGGGGACTTTGGGACCGCGCGCCGCCCCGGCGGCCCCGCCCGTCAGCGCTGTGCTCTCTCTTCGGGCAGGCAGCGCGACGCTCGGGGCCGAAAGCCTCGGAGACGCTCGGCACATGGACGCCTCGGGGCCGCAGAGTTGAAGGGGCCCCAGGACACACGAGTAAATACATACAAATAACAAATATTCCGCATCTGTTCCTACATCTTCTGGGGTTCCTGTCTCCCCCCCCACCTCCCATATTCTCCCACATTTTCCTGGGAATCGACGGTTACTTGTGTCTGCGTGTGTTTTCTCCCCTCCTGAAAAGTGGACGGCGTGCCGCACCGAGGCGAGGCGAGGTGCCGACGCACGGGGGGGGCGCCGCGGAGCGGCGCGCTGGCCCCCCCACGTTCCGCACCGCGAGAGGCCTCAGGAGCACAGCTCCCCCCGCTCCGTGGCCGGTCGGGGCTCGTCGCCGACGCTGGCGTGCGGTCGGGCTTGCCCTCCCAAAGGCGGATCTGGGAGGAGAAAGGACAAAAAGGGGAAAAATGGTCAAGAATTGCCAGCAAACGTCAAATGTTGGGCTTCGGCAGGAGCGACACGCAACCCAGAGACCCCAAGAAGTTGCCGAGCCGAGGAGGAATGACAGACCTAAGGGTGCATCCTCAGAAATGGAAGGAATTCTTGAGACTCATAGGGCTGGTAAAGCATGATTTTTTTCAGCCGGCGTGTTTTGCCTGGATTCCGGCCCTCGGGGACGCATTTTCGGACGCTGGGGCCATCAAGATGGAGCAAAAGCTACCCAAGAGCAAAGGCTCGTGACCTCCAGGGCCGCGGATGGAACACGCAAGCGAAAATATCTGCGGACGTCAGGGGGAAGCATCGAACTGGAATCGACGAGACACTGCCGATGGGCCCCCGATGGCGAGTCCACAGGGTCCTGGACCGGGTGGGGCTATCGTGCCCCTATCGGCGATGAACGGGCGACTGGGGGTCGATGCACCCCCCCCCACCTTGAGCCGATAACCCCCGAACGCTGCCCCTGAGGTGGGGGCAGAGCAGGACCGGATCAGCCTGCACCGAATCGACAAACTGGAAGGCCTCTGGAAAGCATGTGGAAGCAGATCCCACTACCCTCGTCAAAATTAACCTCAACAGTTGCTGGCACGTCATTTCGATTTCGGCCCGCCCCTCAATGTCGACACGCCGCCCCTTCAATGTCGGGGCGAGGGGAAAGATAGTCTGACCGAAGTTGACTCAAAAGCTTGACGTCGACCGACATTGGAGGGGCGGCGCATGCAAGTACCCCGCACTCATTGATACTCGGCCCCAGATCTTCCGACAAGCAGTTCAACCACATCAGACATTTTTGAGCTTAATTTTGACGAGGGTTGCAGGAGAGACCTCGCCAGCCCGAAGGGCGTCTCGGGATACCCTGGAACCCCAGTGGAAGGTTCGTGGGATGCTCATTGGGAGCTCCTAGAAAATCCCAGGGGGCGGTGGGGACGTCGGGGGAAGGGGGTAAGAGTGAGGGGGCGGTGGGGGCGTCGGCAGTCTGCAAGAATCTGAAGAAGTCCGCCGCAGGGGCCAAAATTTAACAAACTATCAGAGTGAGGGGGCTGAACCGAACGGTCATTCACTGTCCCTGGGTGCGTGGCTGAAACGGAATTCCGCGATGCGGATTCTCTTTGTTGCTGTTGTTGATGTTGTTGTTGTTGTTGCTGTTGTTGTTGTTGCTGGTGGTGGTGTTGTTGTTGGTGTTGTTATTGTTGGTGTTGTTGTTGTTGTGGTTGTTGTTGTTTTTTGTTGATGGTGTGTTAGTTGTTGTGTTTGTTGTTATTGTTGTTGTTGTTGGTGTTGTTGTTGTTGTTGTTGTTGTTATCGTCGTCGTCGTCGTCGTCGTTGTTGTTGTTGTTGTTGTTGGTGTTCGTTGGTTGGTGTTTGTTGTTTGTTGGTTGGTGTTTGTTGTTTGTTGTTTGTTGTTGTCGTCGTCGCACCCGCGACCCGCCCTGCGACCCACCCGCGAC